AAGAGATGAAAGGTGCATGGATGGGAATAGGAGAAGACTCCTGCTGGATGGTTTATATTTTCTCAATGAAGTATTTTCTGAAGTTCATGAACTGAGACTGGGTAAGAGACATGAGAAGCTTGAGGGAAGAGGACTCAGTGTGAAATAGCAAACATCCAGGGAAATGAAATAGAATTTCCAGCCTCCTCAGTACCCTTTTAAAATTTGTGCTCATGAACTTAAAGTGAGACCAGTACACAATTTTCACCTGTTCTGTGCAGGGGTGAAGTATTATGAATACTTTAATTTAGCCACAGTTGGGGTTTTTGTTAGAGAAGCTGAATGAAAGGACAGAGGTGCAGTGTTTTTCAGGAAGTGATTATAATGATGGATCACAGAATCTAAGCCGGACAAGGAAACAAGTGGGGGCATGTAAAGTGGGAATGAGTTGTGTCCAATGATAAAAATACTATTCTTCTAATCTATTTTAAGTATCCCAAAATATTACTAAATTGGATGTGAAAGGTGGTATCAGGTGTGTCGTTTTTATAGGGTGCCTCATCCTTGCAGGTGTAAAATGAGAAAGGCATTTTTAATATCAGGTCTATCTGATTTTGAATCTGGAATTGGTTTACTGTCAATAAATGTGAAGGGTCTGAGAGTTTTGCTTTCTCTTTTTAGAGATAGTGTCACACCCTCTCTCCTGGGCTGGGATGTAGTGGCATGATCTTGGCTCATTGCAGTCATGGCTCCAGGGCTAAAGCAATCCTCCCACCTCAGCCTCCCAAGTACCTGGAACTACAGGCATGCACCACAATGCCCGGTTGATTTTTTCAATTTTTTGTAGAGATGGGGTCTTGCTATGTTGCCCAGGCTAGTCTCAAACTGGGCTCAAGTAATCCTACTGCTTCAGCCTCTGAAAGTGCTGGGATTATAGGCATGAGCCACTGCACACCCAGCCCTAAGATTCTTTTATTTTTTTTTTTTGAGATGGAGTCTTGCTCTTTGTAGCCCAGGCTGGAGTGCAGTGGCATGATCTCAGCTCACTGCAAACTCTGCCTCCTGGGTTCAAGAAATTCTCCGCCTTGGCGTCCCGAGTAGCTGGGATTACAGGCATGCATCACCATGCCCAGCTAATTTTGTATTTTTAGTAGAGACAAGGTTTTGCCTTCTTGGTCAGGCTGATCTCAAACTCACGACCTCAGGTAATCCACCTGCCTCGGCCTCCCAAAGTGTTGGGATTACAGGTGTAAGCCACTGTGACCAGCTGAGATTCTTACTGTTAAATTAATAGTTAATTGTTTTGTGTTGACAAAAGACACAAGACTTTTGGTTCAGAGAGGAAGGACTGTATTACTCATGACACAGCCAGCAGCATAAGTATCAGCATATTTGTGTTGCTTTCCTTTCCCTCCCAGTCTCACAGAGGTGACAAGATGGGCCTAGTGAATGCTGCAGACATATTGAGTTTGCGTCCCAGCTGAGGAACCCAAGTCCCAGAACTTTTTGAGCAAGTAGCAATCACTGTAGCAGGCAGCAAGCATGAAGTCATGCTGTGGTCACCTTGACCTACTTGGTTGTCTATGGGACTAGCTACAGAAATTGCTCAGAATTGGGAAACAGATTAGTCCTATAGCCTGGCACACTCAGCAAGAATGGGCTATACCACCCAAGGCTCATGGTGAGCTGCCTGTCCCCATAGTTATACTTTGGAAAGGGGGACTAAATCATGAACAAACTTAATAGTTCTTATTTTAATAATTTACTCTAAGCCACAAAACTTCTTTATATGTATGTTTTATTTTTATTTATTTATTTTTGAGACAGAGTTTCGCCCTTGTTACCCAGGCTGGAGTGCAATGGCGCGATCTCGGCTCACCGCAATCTCCGCCTCCTGGGCTCAGGCAATTCTCCTGCCTCAGCCTCCTGAGTAGCTGGGATTACAGGCACGCGCCACCATGCCCAGCTAATTTTTTGTATTTTTAGTAGAGACGGGGTTTCACCATGTTGACCAGGATGGTCTCGATCTCTTGACCTTGTGATCCACCCGCCTTGGCCTCCCAAAGTGCTGGGATTACAGGCGTGAGCCACCGCGCCCGGCCCTATATGTATGTTTTAAATATATATTTTCTTTTAACTTAATCCCAAATATGATAGTATCAACATATATTTTTAAGACTATCCTTATGACTATGCCAGTAAAAATTTCCAAGCTTATTTCTGAATGCATAATAAGAAATACAGATAAAACCATGTGATTATGTGTGTGTGTATGTGTGTATATACTGGTTTCTTTTCATCATTTATTAAAATTGATGATTTCCTAAAGATGTTTGAGTACAGGGTAAACTATATTCTAATCCATTTTCACATTTCTTTCTCTAGATTTTTTTCTAAAGCAAATATAATAGAAAAACTGAATGCAGATTAGTAACTAGGCTGCACTAAAACCAGGAAGAATAGAAATGAGCTCCCCCACTTTTTTTTTTTTTTGGTTTTGAGACAGAGTCTCACTCCTTCGCCCAGGCTGGAGTGCAATGGCGCAGTCTTGGCTCACTGCAACCTCCTCCTCCCGGGTTCAAGCGATTCTCCTGTCTCAGCCTCCTGAGCAGCTGGGATCAGAGGTGCATGCCACCACACTCGGCTAATTTTTGTATTTTTAGTAGAGACAGGGTTTCACCATGTTGGTCAGGCTGGTGGTCTCGAACTCCCAACCTTGTGATCAGCCCGCCTTGGCCTCCCAAAGTGCTGGGATTACAGGCGTGAGCCACTGCACCCAGAGAAGCTTCCTTTCATAATAAAAAAGGTTTTGGCCCTGTTAGAAGCACTCGAAAACCCTTACCATACAAAAAACAGCATGGAATTTTGAGTGTCCATTAAGGATACTTTGAACCAAAGGAAAAAAACAGTGTGACTACATTTTTCTAGGTTTCCTCTGTCCTTAGTCTCCAGGGGGCTGCTGATGAACCAGCTTAGCTGCTTACCCTTAGAGCAATCTCATTTGCTTAAAGCCTGGGCACCAAAGACAGTAGGGGAAGATGGTCTTTAATTCAGCTGTCTTTAATTTTCTCTCAGTCTGTTGAAGTCTCACCAGCTTCTTTGCTTTCCTAGAATGTGCCAGAAACACTCCCTGCTTAGGGACTTTGCCTTTGCTAGTCCTGTAGGAAGCATGCTACATGCAGAGATCCTCAGCTCACTCCCTCTCTGCTTGCAGGCTTTTGCTCAAATGTCCCTCAAGGAAGCCTACACTGACTACCCACTAAAAATATCAACTACCACCCCAGCCCTTTCCCAGCAGTCTTCATCTTTACCCTGCTTAATTTTTCCTTATGGCATATCTTCTAATATTCTATATTAATTTTATGCATTATGTGACCAGGATGCTTCTGTTTCTTGCTGAACCTGAAGTACCTAAGATGTGTCTAGCACAAAGTAAGTTCTCAGTAAATATCTGAATGAATGAAAGAGTAAGCATATTCCTAATAAAAAAGGAAATGCAAACTTAAGAGCTATTGTTAAATTTTGCAACTGGAATGCCTTAGTTAATTTTGGCATTGTTTCAAATAAACGTCAAACTTTTTGAAATCTCCTAAGGAGAGCCTAAATGCATTGCTATCTTATCTTCTTGCCATGCTCATTTAGCATCTCTAAAGTCCAGTGGTCCTTACAATGAGCTCTTCAATTCAGGATATGCCAAATGATCCAAGAAAGAGCCAGGTGGATGAGTCCTGTGTTTTTGTTCAGAAACATAGAAATGAAATATATCAAACAGGGTAGAAAGGACTGTTTGGCACTAAGATAGATGAAAATGGGAAAACAGGACCTGTCTCCATTATTAGAAGACTGGGACAAACTGAATAGAACAGCACCATTTAAAGAATCCCCTGTGATCATGGAAATATTTTATATCTGTATTGTCCAGTATGGTAGCCCCTAACCACAGGTGACTAATAATACTTGAAATGGTGCTAGAATGGTGGGATAATTGATTTTTGAAATTTATTTCATTTTAGTTAAATAGCACATGTGGCTAGTGCTATTCAATGGCACATATTGGAGGATGCAGGAGTAGATTAGGCCTCTGTTGTAAACTAGCATGGGCAACATCTTTACATCTCAGAGTGATCCAGCTATCATCACTCTACTCCTTTAACTTCACAATCTTTCCATTACTATGCAGGAAAAAGTTTCAAAAAATATAAACTCAAAGACCTACGCTAGGCAGACAGCATTTGGAAATGTCTCAATTGTAGGCGAGGTCTGAAGTTTTAATGTAACCCCTTCATAACTAATTTTGTTGACTTTTCTGAAATGTAAAAACAGTCTCAAAAACATTTCTACTTCTGGAATATAATATATAATTATTTGAATCCCATATCCACTCTTCTTATGTATATGTTAATGTATAAAATTGCAGAACAGTCCAAAGTTTATGTAAATGAAAACTTGCTGGCACAGGAAAAATAAAAATAATTATAACCAGGCTCACCTTATGTGAATAGATGGGTGAGGGTGGGTAGGGGGAGCAGAGGTAGAACTTTAGCAAACTAACATCAGGATGCATCTAACCCGTTAAGTGTTCCAACCAATAATGGAGACTCCTTCAACTTTTAAAACGTGTCCTTTAAAGGAGGCTAGCTTGACATATTCTAGCTTGTCTTATGAGTTAAGACAAATCGCAGACAGTAGAATAATGAATGCTGAAGTCTACAGAATAAAGTGCTAATGTAATAGTTATGAAAGAGAGCTCAGTCAATATTCTTTTCCTGTAATATTACATTTTGCAGGTACCTTGTGTGTATATATAGAGCAATAGATACTAAATTGGTCAGCCACTTGGAATATATGTTAAATGACACTAGTAAAGTTGTTCTTATTACTAAAATTGATTGGATTCCATTATGTTTTAATGTCTCCCTAATTTAAATCTCTAGACTGTGTAATACATCTTGTCAAATGCTCCTGACATATAGATACCTGCTGCTCAAGGAAAAATGCTATACATTAATCAACGAGTCAACTTAGCAAATCATCATTTTAGATTTTACAATTTTTTTTTGAAATTTCACACAGAACACGTTTCACCTCTGTAACCTAAAAATGTTTATAATGAGTTAAACTAAATTCATGCCATTTTATAGAACACATAGTATTGCATACTGGCAATTTTCCATTATCGGTGCCCCTGAAGAGGCAGAGCCACAGTTGACCTAAAACAGAATTTTAAAGCTCTTTTAATGCTAATCCAAATCACTGGTACTTGACTTGAGATGCATTTTGTTTTTTAACTTCTTCACTGCAGTTTGCTTAGGCTGACATCAAATTATATTGTGGCCCCAAAGCTTCACAAATGTTAGGCTAAGGGTGCTTGGAATTAAAAGTGGGAAATTAAATTACCAGTAATTGAAAATTGACCATTTAAAATGTGCTTATAAATCCAACATCAGGAGGATTCTCTAAGAACCGTATACAAGAGGCTGCTGTTTCTTCAATGGATTTCGACCAGCCACCAAGATTTCCAGCAAAGTAAGGAAGGATGCCAGCAGAAACATGGTTAAAGTAAGATACCTGTTTCAAAAGAAAGCACAATGTTTTAATTTCTCATTGACTTGGAGCTTTTTCAAGCAAGGATCTGAGTCTTGCTGGTGTAGGGGCGGCTAAGATCCTAACTTTTGGGGAACCTTCTGAAATAGATGATCCAAAAGGATGAATTTAGGATTCCCATAATGTGGACACAAATTACAAGATTACAATTAATTAGCACATCTATATAAATTAAGAGATTTTTCTCTATCTGGAGGAGCCAATTAATCTGCAGATGTTTCATCAAACTTACAATGCATGAATTACTGTCAATAGCATGGATGAGAAATCCAGCACATATGATTTCACTTCTGATGTACTGTGGAGACGGGGGGACCGATGGCAACATGACCGACTTCACTGCCACTGTGTAAGTGTTACTGAAAGAAGACACTTTCTAAGTTCTTGTGAGAATATAAAATAGTTGTTAGAAAATAAACCCTTATAGCTAACCCAGTTAATTTATACAGGTAGAAGTGGAACTAGGAAGGCTCAGATCTTCTAGATGACTGGTCTCATCAGAAAACACTCTCTGGGCTACATTCAAGGTAGGAAGTAGTGTTTTCTGCCTTCGAATTGCATGTACAATACTTTGTGTAACTCCACGAAGCTGGAGTCAACCTCCAAACTGAAGTTTTATTGTGCCCTACAGGGTGGTAATTTCAGCCTCCTTTCCTTTTTAAATTAAAAACAGGCTGGGCACAGTGGCTCACGCCTATAATCCCAGAGCTTTGGGAGGTCAAGCTGGGCTGATCACCTGAGGTCAGGAGTTCAAGACCAGCTTGACCAACATGGAGAAACCTCGTCTCTACTAAAAATACAAAATTACAGGCATGCGTGGTGATGCATGCCTGTAATCCCAGCTTCTTGGGAGGCTGAGGCAGGAGAATTGCTTGAACCTGGGAGGCAGAGGTTACGGTGAGTTGAGATTGTGCCATTGCTCTCCAGCTTGGACAACAAGAGCAAAACTGTGTTTCAAATAACAATAATAATAAAATTTAAAAATAATAAAAAAAAATACTCACTGTTGTTAAAAGAAAAACTCCCAAACAATAGAGAACCCTGTAGGCTAGAAAATAAAAATCTTCCTCCAGTCCAATTGTACTCCCATCCTATTCTCTACCTTAGAAGTGACCACTACATTTTACTGTATGGCCCTCTAGCCTTTTTAAAATAAATGAATGACACTTATATAAGCAAATGCAACAAAACTTTTTACATAAATATCATTTTACAAACACCAATCTACAATTTGATTTTTCATCTAGCAATAATCTTTGGAGGTGTTTCTCTATCAGTGCCACTATAGCTGCTTCACCCATTTTCATGATGGTACGATACTTTGTAGTATGGATCTACCATAATTTATAAGATGTATTTTCCATTTGTTTCTAATATTTTTTCAGTAATAAATGATATGACACTGAACATCTGTTAATGCTCATATGTGTGTGGGATTATTTGGGACACTTCCTCTTAGAAGCTAGATGCCATGCTCTGAGCAGTTCAATGCACATGGAAAAACCATGTCTGGATATTCTGATCGACAGCCCCAGCTGCCAGCCAGCCATGGGGGATGTCTAACACAGTCAAGCTTCTGTGAATTCTAAACCAATTCCTGGTGTTTTACTTGGCTTCGACTGCATTTTTACTAATCATGGAATGTTTCAAAGGTTTACTGAGTATCAGTTTTACATCTACATAGGAAAAAGAACTACTTTAGGATTCTTGCCTTGTGTTTTGCACACAGCTGGCACTTAATAGATGATTGTTAATTTTTAAAACAATAGCTAAAGATTCATCTAGGTACAATTCAAATGAACATAACTGAGGAGCAGAAATATGTACACAAACTTCCTTATTTTCATGTCAACTGTTAATTTCTATCCTATACTATGAAATATTGATAGAACACTTGAACTGCATATACTTACCCATCTTTGAGAGGTTTTCTTCGTGATACGAGGACTACCACGTCTTTGGGTTTGTCATCATTCACTGTAGGACAGGTGATGTAATATAGCTGATCATCTTCACTCACCCAGTCTATGACTTCACAGGACCTGTGTACATAGAACAGTGAAAACGGGTATACTTTCTATCTGCTAAGGCATTCACTTCCTTTATTTGCTTACCTAATCTCATTACTGGTGTCCATATTTGTGCCTTCAGCTCACCTAATCATCCCCATAAAAGCTAGCATCATTGCTCAAGTCTACCTTTCGAAGAACTCTTTGAGGCTGGGAAGAATGGCTCATGCCTGTAATCCTAACACCTTGGGAGGTCGAGGTGGGAAGATCACTTGAGGCCAGGAGTTCAGAACGAGCCTGGGCAATCTTGCAAAACCCCATCTTTACAAAAACATTTTTTTTAAATTAGCTGGCTGTGGCGACGCATGCCTGTAGTCCCAGCTATTTGGGAGGCTGAGCTGGAAGGATCACTTGAGCCTGAGAAGTTGAGGCTGCAGTGATCCATGATTGTGCCACTGCACACCTGCTTGGGTGAGATCCTATCTCAAAAACAAACAAAGAAAAAACAAAAAGAAACCTTCAACAAACAGACAAAAAACACAAGAGCTCTTTGATCAGAAGGAATAATTCTGCATGTGATAGAGAGAGGATGGTGGCTGTCTGACTTCAAATTCATAATTCTCAATACATCAGTGAAAGGCATTGAGTTGTTTTACATAAAATTATTTTTCTCTAGAATCAAGTAAAAACATTGTGAAGACTGGCAAATTACATAGCCCAAGAAGGATTGTTAGATAAAGAAACGTGGTATACTGGAAACAGCACTAACCTTGGAGTCAAATAACTTTCTTTTGACTCCCAGAGTGCCACTTACTTGCTATGTAAGTTGCATTAGGCAAGTCATTTTATTTTTTCATCTATAAAATTTAGATAATGATACATGGGGTTATTGCAAAGAGTCAGTGAAAACACCTGGCACCTGAATCATAGTAGATGTACAAGAAAAGTTAGTTGAATTAGGATTAATTCATCCATTCCCCCATTCATTCAACTTCAATTTGGCTGGAATGTCAAGTGACATAGAGAACAGCGGGAGAAACATTTTTAAAGCATTAACACCAAAGTTTAGGCATTGTTCTTCCTAAAAGCTTTGTACTGGCAGATTATCTACTAAGTTGATGCAAGAAAATTGAGAAGTGTTCCTCTTCCCTCAGAATGATTTATTATGATGGCATTAACTATGATGCATCATTGTGATATGGGAGGCAGGCAGGGAAGTATTGGGTAGAGAAGGGCAGGGTCCCTGGTGAGGGCTCCACCTTTGGGCCTGTGCCCATAGACCTAAATGAGGACAGGCATTTCTGTTCTCACACCTGAAAAGTTACCTTTTGGCCCACCACGCCCCACATCCTGTGCCCGTAAGAAACCCGAGACCCTAGCAGGCACAGACAAAGTGGCTGGATGTTGAGAGGAACAGAGGACCAGAAGAACACACTGCAGACATCAGCAGATGCTGGCAACCATCGATGGTGGAAAGACATGGTATTCTGTCAGGGGTAGTCAGAGGAAAGTCTGGTGTCTGGGTGGCTGGACTCCAGGAGAAGACCACCTTCCCACTTCATCCTCCTTCTGGCTCCCCATCCATCTCACTAAGAACAGCTTCCCCACTTAATAAAACCTTGCACCTATCTTCCAAGGCCACATGTGATTCATTTTTTTCCAGTACACTAAGGCAAGAATCCAGGATCCAGAGCACTTTGCAGATGCCACTGCTGCCTGGAGCCTTGTAGTATCAGCCATGGTCAACCTCACTGTGTTCTTTGACGTTGCCGTTGACAGCGAGCCCTTGGGCTGTATTTCCTTCGAGCTGTTTGCAGACGACTTTCCAAAGACAGCAGAAAACTTTCGTGCTCTGAACACTGGAGAGAAAGGATTTGTTTACAAGGGTTCCTGCTTTCACAGAGTTATGTCAGGGTTTATGTGTCAGGTTGGTGACTTCACACACCATAATGGCACTAGTGGCAAGTCCATCTACGGGGAGAAATTTGATGACGAGAACTTCATCCTACAGCATTCAGGTCCTCGCATCTTGTCCATGGCAAATGCTGGACCCAACACAAATGGTTTCCAGTTTTTCATCTGCACTGCCAAGAGTGGTTGGGTGGGAAGCATGTGGTCTTTGGTAAGGTGAAAGAAGGCATGAATATCGTGGAGGCCATGGAACGCTCTGGGTCCAGGAATGGCAAGACCAGCAAGAAGATCACTGTTGCCGACTGTGGACAACTCTAATGAATTTGACTTGTGTTTTATCTTAACCACCAGACCATTCCTTCTGCAGCTCAGGAGAGCACCCTTCCATCCAATTTGCTCGCAGTATCTAATAATCTGTGCTCTCGCTGCATTTCCCTTTGGGTTCCATGTTTTCCTTGTTTCCTTCCATGCCTAGCTGGATTGCAGAGTTAAGTTTATGATTATGAAATAAAGACTTAAAAAAAAGAATCCAGGATACAGAAAGCCCTCTGTCCTTGCCATAGGGCAGAGGGTAACTGAACTGCTGCCTGCAGACAGCAAAACTGAAAGAGCACACCGTAACACACGCCCACTGGGGCTTCGGGAGCCGGAAGCACTCACCCCTAGATGCTGCTGTGGGGTTGGGGCCCAAAAACGCTCCCCACAACCTGAGCGTCTGCATGATACCCCCAGGGGTTTGAGCAAAACTGAAGAGACAAGACACACCGCTGTAGCAGGCCGTATGAGGAGGATGAGGGAACTCCTCCCATTTCAACTCTAGCGTCTGTGCAAATGTAACATATGACCCAAGAGATGTTTCACTTTAGTGGTATTAAATGATCTGTTACATGGTATTTCTAAAACTCTATCACAGTGAGCTTTAGAAAATTTAACGATGAGCCTCTATCTTGTCAGGATTAGGAAATGCCTTACATGATAGGAAGCCCATCTCACCAACCCTTCCGTGTCAACAAGGTAGCCGTGAAGCCCAGTAAGGTGCCATAACCAAGGCGGCTGGGCCTCAGCACAGCTGGACCCCATCAGTGCTGTTGGACCCCATCAGTGCCATTGGCGGTGTGCACAGCTCTGTACTGTGTTCCAGGAAAGGGTCAGGGAGTGGAAGAGATTGGATTAGGGATGCAGGAGACAGGGAGGGGCAGGAGTAGGAGATGTAGGCTAATGAGAGCAGGGACATCATCAGGAGGGGGAGCAGGCAGGCATGCCTTTCACCTCAGGGCTCACACAGCTTGCCCTGTTAGCTTCTTACCAGGGAGGGTTGCTTCGCAGGAAAGTAAGGAACTGTCAATGAAATATTGTAGGCAGGACAACTGGATAATCACTTCCTCAAGAGCAGTGAGGTTGCATATTAAAGTAGAAGAGTGTAGATTTCAAAGCATGACAGATTTGGGGTTCTATCACTTTATTGCTTGTGCAGTCTCGGCAAGTCTCAGAAAATAATGTCAACCTTGAAGTTACTGGTAGAATTACCATAGATGTGGGTAAAACAGGTCAACTCAATGTAGATGATGAGTATAATAATTTTTGTTTTGTGTCTCTCAGTATCATTTGATGTAGTAGTCTGTGCAGAGCCAACTTTATTTTCATTTTAATTTTTGACAGGGTCTCCTGTGTCACCCAAGCTAGACTACAGTGGCATGATCTTGGCTCACTGCAGCCTTGGCCTCCCAGACTCATGCAACCTCCCACCTGAGCCTCCTGAGTAGCTAGGACTACAGGCATGCACTACCTCGCCCAGCTAATTTTTGCATATTTTACAGAGATGGTCTTTCACCATGTTGCTCAGGCTGGTCTTGAACTCCTGGGCTCAGCTATCCACCTGCCTCAGCCTCCCAAAGTGCTGTGCCTGGGTAAACTTTTAAATTGCTCTTTAATTAATAAAACAATGGGTCACACATTGGACGATGGAGGTGGACTGTTATATGGAGATCATCTTTTACATGATATCAAGGTTGATTGAGAAAAAATTTTTAATTTGTTCTTACACAAAATGGGGGTCCCACAAAGGTCGCTTTGTAAAGTCAGACAAGAGCTGATACGCCAAATGCGCTGGACTTCCTACATGCTTTTCAACCCAAACAGATACAACATCATCCTCTTCCAGAGTGTATATTTTTATCTAAAAGATAACAACAAAAATTAAATTACAAAAGAAAAGTGATGCTTTTACTTTAAAAACCATACACATGTATATATAGTCACAGACCCATTGCACTAACTAAGGCATCTTGTTTCCTGGATGAAAACGAAGCCCCATGCAATTTCTCTTGAAATACCGGAATTTCTCAAGTCTGTCCAGGAGGCTATAGTCCCGTATCCTCTAAACAATATGTGACTTGAGGGTGGGGTATTTAATTATTGGACAGCCGTTCTTTTTCTCGTGAAAAATTTAAAAACCTAGGCCCTTCTCTCCTTGTCTCTTTGTGATGTTTCCCTCCCTTTACCGAGAATATAACCAGACTGCTAGGCAGGTCAGCACCTCATCTCCAAGGCTATAGCTTAGGACACTTTCCCAGGATGTCAGGTGTGTCTTCAACTGGGCCGAGGGGATCCAGGAAGTGAGTTAACCACCTCTAGAACCATCTCAGCCTCTCAGCGGGCCCCCCGAGCACCATATTTCCTTAGCACAAAGCATCCTTTCATTTCTGAATCACAGAGGCTGGCTCATCCTTCAGAAAGGCTAGTTCCTGGTTTCCTGACACACATTATTCCTTAGTTAAGAGGAGGCATGTTTTGGGGAGCCATTTGACATACGCTTAAGCATTAATGCATCCCTTGCTACTCTGAACTTTTCCTCTACTGTGTTTTTGACAATATCAGAGATGTGTGTTCAGCTTAGAACACATTTCTATCCCTCCCATTTTCTTTATCTCTTTCAGGGTACTTTGAAGTTAGTGTTGAAATTTGCCACCTTATAACCATTCCCATGGCAACAAGCTGTGAGAAGACAAACAAACATGAGGTTAGGACTTCACTGCAGGAGTCAAGATAGAAAAAAATCAGGCTGTAAAGGAGAAACCTTTATTTAAACATAAATATTATCAATAAGAGAATGAAGAAATGAGAAATTAACTACAAGTATGTCAGAAAGGAAACAAGTGATTATTTGCTTATACCATTTAACCTCTACGAATGAACTTGGTTCCAAGCCTCCCTTTAAATCCAGCCTGCAAAGAAGACATGATTGAGACTGTGAGCACTTACCAAACACAAAGAAAACTATGGATGGGGCTCCAGGTGGCTGGTGAGACTCACCCTACTTAGCATGGGCATGTCTAACTTTGTCCCCGGCACAGGGGGAGTTGAAGGAGCTTCACTGGTATAAATAGAGGGAGATTATCAGATTTATCAGACATCTAACAAGTGCTTGGTGGGAAAATGGCTCTAGGATGGGCCACCAGGGATCTGCAGTCTCAGAGGAGCTGAGGGCAGGTGGCCAGGGTAAACTCCATAGTGCCAGTCCTATTCTGGCCTTAGGGAAGCCATGTTCTACTCTGGTGGAGTGAGATGGAGTGGAATGCAGTATTGCACTCATTAAGAGTTGAATTATGTCTCCACCCTTCCACTCCCAAATTCATGTGCTGTAGTTCCAACCTCCTGTACTTTAGAATGTGACCTTATATGGAAATAGGACTCTTGCAGATGTAATTAGTCAAGATGAGGTTGTACTGTGGTAGGATGAGCCCCTTATCCAATATGACTGGCATCCTTATTAAAAAGGGACATTGGACATAGACATGCTTACAGAAGTAATACATGTGATGATAAAGGTGGAGATCTGGTGATGTGTCCATAAGCCAAGGAATGCCGAAGATGACCAGAAAATCAGCAGAAGCTAGGAAACAAGCATGGAACAGATTCTCCCTTACAGGCTCAGAAAGAAGCAACCCTGCTGACATCTTGATCTCAGACTACCAGCTTCCAGAATTGTGAGACAAGACATTTCTACTGTGTCTACTACTCAGTTTGTGGTCCTCTGTTACAGAAGCCCTAGGAAACTAAAACAGCACTTTTCTAGGGAGCTGCTTCCAGGTTGCAGTCACATGTTTCTGCCTCCCATCCTGGAGCCGAACCAAACATCAAGCTAAGTTATAACCACCACTGAATCTGCCCTTACAGAGCTCACTCGACGTATCCAATGCCAGGTACAGTACTGGATGAGCAAATTCAATTGTGATCTTTCCCCTAGAAGCTGAGGGTAGCAGAAAGTCCCTATTGCCCTGCTGTCTAAATCAATGATATTGATGCAAACAAAGTAGACAAGGAAATGCTGTAGTTAGTTTTGGTTCTCTTTAAACCCTGCTAAGAAAGGCCCATTTTTACTTAGTAAAAAAATTTTCCAGGAACAATTCTCCAAGAAAATGAATTACCTTTCATGCTTCGGAATGGAGAGGTTCAATTTATTTATTTATTTGTAACCAACTGATATGGTTTGGATTTGTGACCTCAGCCAAATCTCCTGTCGAATTGTAATCCCCACTGTTGGAGGAGGGGCCTGGCGGGAGGTGCCTGAATGTTGGGAGTGGACGTCCCCCTTGCTGTTCTTGTGATAGTGAGTGAGTTCTCATGAGATCTGGTTGTTTGAAAGTGTGTGGCACCTCCCCCTTCGCTCGCTTCCTCCTGCTCTGGCCCCATAGGACGTGCCTGCCTCCCCTTTGCCTTCTGCCATGATTGTAAGTTTCCTGAACCCTCCCCAGCCATGCTTCCTATGCAGTCTGTGAAACCATGAGCCAATTAAACCTCTTTTCTTTAAAAATTAGCCAGTCTCAGGTAGTTCTTCGTAGCAATGTGAGGATGAACTAATATACCAACTCAAACATTTGCTTTATCATTTGATGGTTGGAGAATTTTATTCTATGAAATGAAGCTTAAAGCAAGCAGGCTCAAAGTCTGCTGGAGCTTGCAAACATTTTATTAGTGATATCATTTTTTAAATTCTAATAAGACTCTGTTTGATTGTGAATGTCTTATACAAATAGTACAAAAGGGCTTGTAATCCCCACACTGTGGGAGGCCTAAGCAGGTGAATCACCTGAGGTCAGGAGTTTGAGACCAGCCTGGTCAACATGGTGAAATCCCATCTCTAGTGAAAATATACAAATTAGCCAGGTGTGGTGGCGCGTGTCTGTAGTCCCAACTGCTCGGGAGGCTGAGGCACAAAAATCCCTTGAACCTGGCGGGTGGAGGTTACAGTGAGCTGAGATCACACCACTGCACTCCAGCCTGGGCAACAGAGTGAGACTGTCTCAAAAAAACAAACAGTACAAGAGGAAACAACTAAAAATTTTAGAAATTTTGCACCATCTCTTAACAAATATGTTATTGAGACTACACTGTGGGAAAGAGGACAAAGCTGGTTTTTACAGAAGCCTAGGGGAGCCTTCATTTTTCTTGGAGGCATCTGGAGATGACCACAGCGGCCAAGGAGGTGGGGGTCGGACAGGCAGAGCTCTGGGCCCAGCCCTTCCCCCAGCTCCATGAGAACAGTTCCCCTCAGCTCTGTTTCCTATACTGGGGGTCTGTCCTGTGTAAAGGTTTTCAGATGGTTCGTGTCATTCTGGCTTTCATCATAATTTTCCCAGTACACCCCAGGTCTTCCTTTAATAAAAAGCTGCTCCTGTCAGGCCAGTCTCCTACGCAATGCTAACTTCCACGAGGAGAACTCGACTCAAACTATCCACTGCCTAGAAAGCCCTGTTTCTCCCTCAGCAATCCACTCCTGACACTATCTTCAAGGAGGTAAGAACGACCTCCTCTCTGAAGTTCTCCCTATACAACTGTTTTCTCTTACTTGGAATTGCCTGTAAAAGCTGACTTTTTTTTTTTTCCTTTTGAGATGGAGTCTAGCTCCATCACCCAGGCTGGAGGGCAGTGGCATGATCCTGGCTCACTGCAATCTCCACCTCGCAGGTACAAGCAATTCTCCTGCCTCATCCTCCCAAGTAGCTGGGACTATAGGTGTATGCCATCACATCTGGCTATTTATTTATTTATTTTTGGATTTTTCACAGAGATGGGGTTTCACCATGTTAGTCAGGTTGGTCTTGAACTCCTGACGTGGTGATCCACCAAGAGCTGACTTTTATGGTTTTAGCACTACAACCTCTCACTTGTTAATAAACGACCTTATAATTATTCTTCACCTGTGTGATGTTTCCAAAATACACCTTTTGTTCCTTGTATTACTACTACAATAAATTCTATCATTATACATGAAGCATGAAATTAGTTAAAACCATAAGCTCTATCCAATTCCATCACATATACTACAATCTTAGACTTTTACCATCCAATTTGTATTGAAAACCTGGAAAAAACATGGTTTTGTTTTTTTTTAGAGACAAGGTCATTTTATGTCTCCCAGGCTGGCCTCAAACTCCTAGGCTCAAGCAACCCTTCTGCTTCAGATACCTGAGTAGCTACTACTACAGGTGGATGCTGTCAGACCCAGCTTTGAGGAAAGTATGATTCTTTTTAAAAAAAAAAAATTTTTTTTAGATATTCCTCAAGAAGAGCAACCCCAAGGCACATAATCGTTAGATTCACCAGGGTTGAAACGAAGGAGAAAATACTAAGGGCAGCCAGAGAGAAAGATCAGGTTACCCACAAAGGCAAGCCTATCAGACTTACAGCAGATCTCTCAGCAGAAACTCTACAAGCCAGAAGAGAGTGGGGGCCAATATTCAACATCCTCAAAGAACAGAACCTTCAGCCCAGAATTTCATATCCAGCCAAACTAAGCTTCACAACTGAAGGAAAAATAAAATCTTTTATGAACAAGCAAGTACTCAGAGATTTTATTACCAACAGGCCTGCTTTACAAGAGCTTCTGAAAGAGGCACTACACACAGAAAGAAACAACCAGTATTAGCCTTACTAAAAATATACCAAAAAGTAAAGAGCACCAACGTAAAGAATTTTCATCAACGAATGGATCAAACAGCCAGTTTACATCAAATGGCAGTAACCCTAAATTTAAATAGACTAAATCCCCCAATCAAAAGACATAGCCAAAACCCAACGGCATGTTACATCCAGACCTGTTTCACATGCAAGGATACACAAAGACTCAAAACAAAGGGATGGAGAAAGATTTACCAACCAAATGGAGAGCAAAAATAAATAAATAAAAAGCAGGAGTTGCAATTCTCATATCGGATAAAATAGATATTAAAGCAACAAAGATATAGTGGTAAAAGGATCAATGCAACAACTACAATGAATAGAATTTATTGTAGTAGTAATACAAGAAACAAGAGCTAACAATCCTAACACCCAGATACATAAAGACTTAGATTCAATGAGACGGAAAATTAATAAGGATATCAAGGACTCGAACTCAGATCCGGAACAAGAAAACTTAATAAATATTTATAGAGCTCTCCACTTCAAATACATAAAATACACATTCTTGTCAATACCACATCACACCTATTCATAGGTTTAAATGAAACATTGATTGGCCATTGTTAATACCCATTATTTTTCAGAATAAAGCAATATTTCCGTTCACCCTCCCTCTTTCTCTTCCTCTTTCTTCCTCTCCTTTACTCATTTTTTTTTCTTTCCTTCTCTCAAAAAAAGAAAAAAAAAAAAAAAAGAAATCAACATGTAAACTTCTAGATCCAGGTCGGCAATGTCTCTCTCATTGCTTGATTTCCTTCCTTCCCTTCCCTTCTTCCCTCCCTCCCTCCCTCCCTCCCTACCCCCTTCCTCCCTTCATTCCTTCCTTCATCCCTTCCTTCCTCCCTCCCTTCCTCCTTCCTTCCCTTCCTGCCTTCCTCCCTTCCTCCTTCCCTCCCTTCCTGCCTTCCTCCCTTCTTCCTTCCCTCCCTTCCTCCTTCCCTCCCTTCCTGCCTTCCTCCCTTCCTCCCAAAAAAAAAAAATTTTTTTTAATTTTTGATACAGGGTCTCACTTTGTTGCCTAGGCTGGAGTGTAGTGGCACGATCTCAGCTCGCTGCAACCTCCACCTCTCGGGTTTAAGTGATTCTCATGCCTAAGCCTCCCAAGCAGCTGAGATTACAGGTATCCACCATGACACCTGGATAATGTTTTATTTTTAGTAGAAATGGGGTTTCACCATGTTGGTCAGGCTGGTCTTGAACTCCTGACCTCCAGTGATCCACCCGCTTCGGCCTCCCAAAATGCTGGGATTACAGGTGTGAGCCACTGTGCCCAGCCAGAAAGTATGATTTTTAACAGGCAACTGTGTTGTAAGAATTATTCCACTAAAAGGTGACAGAAAAAAAATAGTCATATTTTGAAATTAAAAACATATAAGCTGTAAAAAGTGGGAGAGAAGAGGAGGAGAACTCTTCAAAAACACTTTTTATCAGATTTTTATCATAAGTATAATCTTTAAAGAAGAAATTCAATGGAAATAACACGAGAATGTTTCTTTATGCAATACCCTCTAGTAAGTATCTACACAAAAATTAAGAATTAATCATTGATAGCCGTCCTACAACACTAGCAAATTTATCTGGATATGCTTCAGGCCACACCCTCCCAAAGAACTGAGGTTTTAGTATATTCTATGAGTTCACTAAATATGTTCTTTCACTTAGTTCCAGACATGAATTTGTTCTTTTCCACTGCTGCTCATGAACGCTCAGATGCCAGCAATGATGAAAGAAGCAGGTTTTATATCAGTAGAATTAAACAAACTATTGAAGCATCTTTTATGAAAGAGAAACAAATAGTTTAGTTAAACCTCTGTTTCTGTATCACTGAATGAGGCAAAGACAGAAACTTAACTGGATCCAAATGGGATAAGGAAGACCCTGAAGGATTTAATAATGAGGGCAAAGAAATCATAAAGGGAAACAACCAAAAACAAAACATTCGGAAGAGGTCACAGTCAGCATTGAAAGAATCAATGAACTAGCATCTGAATTGACTTAGATTTTAAGGTAAAGTAACAATATAATTTATCATCCAAACTGGAACACCAAGACACTGTTCATAGTTACAATGGGATAACAGGTGTAAGCCAGAACTGTCCCAGGAAAATCAGGACATATGGTCATCCTATTTCATAGGCTGCTGCTTCACTAATGATAAAAATCAGTGCATACTGAAATATGAATGGAGCCGAAATGCCGGCATTAGTGAGCATCTCTGAAGTGCCAGGGGCTCCCATGGTCTGGGTGTAGTGGTGAGCAGATCGGCCCTCAGAGAGCTTACAGTCTAGTTAGTGTGGGCATGAGCTTCTGAGGGTCTCCTAATAAACCTCTGAAATTAGACAAAATTAAGATCCAAATGATGTATGTGTCTTTAAACCTGACGGCATGCAAAACACTATCATAGATCGTAAGAGAGATACAAAGAAGGCGAGACAAGGCTTCTTTCTTAAGTTTATGATGTACTTAGGGGAGGAAGACCATGTGTAAAAGTTAAATTTCCATGTAAGGCTTAAATATTAATTTGAGGTAGCTGTGGAAGAAATGTCACAAGATAAGGTATAATTAATTGACAAACTGTTCATCATTTTTAGAGACAGAGTCTTGCTCTACTGCCCAGGCTGGAGTGCAATGATGCAATCGTAGCTGACTAGAGGCTGAAATGCCTTGGCTCAAGTGATCCTCCCAACTCAACCTTCTGGGTAGCTAAGACTACAAGTGTCCGCTACCACAGCAAGCTAATTTTAAATTTTTTTGTAGAGATGGGGGCTCATTATTTTTCCCAGGCTGGTATCAAACTCCTAGCCTCAAGGGATCCTCCTACCTTGGCCTCCCAAAGCACTAGGGTTACAGGCATGAGCCAGCACATTCGGCCAGAAAAATTAATTTTAAAGAAGTCATGACTAAAGGATTTACTAGAAAAAGTAGCTCCTTAAATCAAGCATGGCAGGAGAGGGTTTGTGGAGAAGCATCTGTCTTGATCTAGATCAGGCGGGATTTGGGTAGATGGAGAAGGGGAGGAGAGGGAGACGGGGTGTGAGAACCTTAGCTCAGCGGTAGGAGCTTGCAGGGCATATTTGAAGGACTCCAAATCAACCAGCTGGTAGAGACAGGGCTGAAAAGATGCTTGCCTCTTAGAAACTGTTGCCTCAAAAGATTTTAAAATCTTATTTATTTATTGCATTTTAGGTTTTGCGGTACATGTGAAGAATATGCAAGATTGTTGCATAGGTACACACATGGCAGTGTGATTTGCTGCCTTCCTCCCCATCACCTATATCTGGCATTTCTCCCCATGCTATCTCTCCCCAACTCCCCACCCCCCACTCTCCCTCCCCCATTTCCCCCCGACAGACCCCAGTGTGTGATGTTCCCCTTCCTATGTCCATGTGTTCTCATTGTTCAATGAGTGAGCATGTGGTGTTTGATTTTCTGCTCTTGTGTCAGTTTGCTGAGAATGATGGTTTCCAGATACATCCATGTCCCTACAAAGGACATGAACTCATCATTTTTTATGGCTGCAAAAAGCAGCAGTAGAAGCAGTAGAACCATCACCACCATCACCGCCTTGATTTGTGATGAGCCATCGATTACACAAATACCTGGAGGCGTCCTACCTTTTCCACAGTGCTGGTCACCTCCCAACCCCTTTTGGCTGCCAGTTTTTTGAGGGCCTCCACATTGCTGTCACTCAGGGATGCCTAGAATAGAAATATTTTTAAAGCTGTGTATGCAATACATAGATGTGTGATCAAATATTTTCTGCTTAAAAAATGGGCACGGTTGGAGGATGTATGTGTCAAGCCCAAGTGATAGTGTTGAGTTTAGAACTAAGCTACAGGCTGGGTGACGTGGCTCACACCTATACCCCCAGCACTTTGGGAGGCCGAGGCAGCCAGATCACTTGAGAATAAGAGCTCAAGACCAGCCTGGCCAACATGGTGAAACCCCATCTCTACTAAAAATACAAAAATTAGCTGGGTGTAGTGGTGTAAACCTGTAATCCCAGCTACTCAGAAGGCTGAGGCAGAAGAATCACTTGAACTCACCATCAGGATGTGGAGGTTGCAATGAGCCAAGATTGCACCACTGCACTCCAGCCTGGGTGACAGAGTGAGACTCCATCTCCAAAAAATTAAAATTAAAAAGAACGAAGCTATAGCTAACATATAATTTCTATCTTGAACCCTTAATTTAGAATTCAGACAAGGTAACTGTATACTTAACAACTGGTATTTTAGTTGGTATCCTGAGTGAAGACAGTGCCTTTCAGTATGACTGCTAATCGATGTGTAATAAGTAAACTTGGATTTCTCTTTACATTTAATGGTCAAAAGTATTCAAATGACTACTACTTTGTTATTGTTTTTATAAAATTGCAAGCTGGTGGGCACAAGCCACAGTGAGATACCAGATGGGACTGTGCCATGCTTCTGGAACATATCTGATGGCAGAGCATCCTGGGTCGAACTGTAAGAAGTCAAACAAGGCTAAGCTGCTGATTGGTAAGCAGTAACTGATAGTCTGGGTTTGTTTCATTTTGACATGACTGGCTGATATAATCCACCTTTTCACATAAGCTTGTAGGCACAACCTAAGCCAGTTAGGCAAGGGGATTTCCATTTTTGTAAAGATGAGAATTTTATATGAAGAGCTCCAAATAATAAAACATCACCTGCTTGCTGATATCCCAGTGTATGGAAAGTGGAACCTCTTTTTTGTGGGAAATAACATATTTCCTGGGGAAAAACAGTAAAATATTAAATGACAGGTTTTTTTTTCCTCTGCGTTTAACCACGACAATAATAGTAATACTTTTCTTGAACTTCCATCAGGAGTGGATATCAGTGGAACAACATGGAAGAACTACTTTCATAAGTCGGTAATCAGCCTTCACGGCCAGGAAACATCAGACCTTCTCTTTTTCCGTTATGTGGGAATAGAGACCCAGAGAGGGGCTCTTTGTTATATAACTTGTGAGATTAGAGAAGACTCCATAAAATCATTATACCTTATGTTCCTTACCTGCCTAGGCGAATTCTTTTGCGTGCAATAGCTCCCCAATAGCGTCTAAAATCATCCTTTAATCAAAAAAAGGAAAATGAATAAAATAAAATAAAATCTCTACTATCTTAGTGCTATAATCCTTAAGTATCCTTCTCTTAAATCAGTGAAAAGGGCTAACTGGGATACAGTATCTCTCCGTGAACTGACTTCGTCAAGTCAGAGCCTCTGCCGACTCCACACAGGGCAGCTGCACTGACACAGGAGCAATCCTTCTACTTGTTTGCTTCCTTTTTTCAAAAGTGGAGACGATTATCTTATCTGTTACCAGAATTATACTCAATTCTCACCACAGAGTTTTTAGCAAAAAATTAACACTGGCAATCAGGTAATTTCAGGATGAGGGAAAGATATGGTTCCCATGAACTTGGCACAGTATCAAGAGCTGGAGCTAAGGAAGTGAGAGAAGAGACCCAGAAATAAGACACTGAAGGTGACATCCTACCCACGGCAGCGTGTGGCCCAGTCGAGGTTAGGTCTTCAGGGCTTCCAACATTTGAACAAATGATGAGAGTGATTGGGGGGAAAAGGAAAAGAAAAAAGCCCACTTCACTTTGTGATGCTGAAAAGAGAGAAAAGCAGAGGGAAAGAGCCAGAGAGACTGTTGCTGATGGGAGGAGATTCTGGGTAGAGCTCTCTACCCACAGGTCTGCCTACTGAACCTTGCGTGATAATAACTGACCTTTGAAATGGGTTGGATTCTGGGAAATGTGATGAGATTTTCCTTATCAGCAGCATTGTAGATGAGAAAAGCACTGTTGATGTGACGCCCTCGGCCCTCAGCCCATTCCTGACAGTCAAAGGCCTCCACACGAACTCCAACTTCAACACTGTGAGGGGTGATACAGGGCGGTGGGCAAAGAGGATCTCGGCCTGTTAGGCCTCCTTGCCCACTGCTGCCACCTCCTCCAAGCAACGGGAGGATAAGGGCCTGGGTTTTCTTCTTTGTTACCAGCAAAAATCTGTGTGACTATTAGAATCCATTTTCAGGTCAATGGACTGCCTAAGGGCACTTCCATTTTACTTCCCCACTTTCAAGTGGGAAAAAGGCTAGGAAGGGCTTTAAATACATTCATGAACATATTTTGGCAATGTGAGGAGGGCTTAAATTGTGCCAAAGTCAAGTTTTCTTCCCTAAAAACAGTAAGTCTGTAATTAAAAAATAAACATTGAAATTAGACAGGAAACAGATATTCTTTTTTACATTTAAAAAGAAAGAAATACTAAATCAAATCTTTTCATTGTGTATCAAGAATAATAAAAATAACTGGGAAGTGGTTTGGATTTCATGGTGGTAATACCAGGTCCATTATGAGTTGATTGACCATCTAGTCACTGGGACTGAATGGAAAAGTTAATAATTATACAGGGATGACAGGTATAAACCAGGTCCATCTTGGGCCAATGGGGCATAGGGCTACCCTTATAAGACAAAAACCAGTCCATCACAATTTACTCAGTGTGAGAAGGCCCTAAAAAGAATAAAGGCTTAAAAATATGTTCATGGATTTTGAAAATTACATTAAAAAAATGAAATTTCACTAAAGTAGTTCCTATACTCACCTCCAGGTTGAAATTAAAAATTACATTTGTGCAAGTTTACATTTCTTCATAGCAGCCTAAGAGCTCACTTTACCAGGTCTGAAATGTGTTGTTGACAATGGCAGTGAAGACAAGACGATCTCCAACCGTAGACGGTCCCCGGAACTTAAACATATCTACGGACTTCAGAAAGAGATGCGCCCGACACAGGCGGCTGGGAAGACAGAGGCAGGGAGAGAGAAGAACACATCACTCATTCATTCTTTAAACAGATGCACAGACAAGTCTTCAACCTATTTTCCAAATTAGCATTTCTTTAAACTTGACTGAAATAAGCAACTGGATTGTGTGTGTTGAGAGTGGGTCTGCATGCTATGGGCCAACATCTTGGGAAATCCCATGTCCCCAGCAGTGGGATCTCTACTCAGATGGTGACACTTCTGCTCCTCTGGTAACAGTCCTACTCTTGTCTTGTTTCCTATGGAAGTCCCTTGGAACAACAAACCAGTGCCTTTTGTTCTAATTTGAATTACAGTCACCCTGATAGCTCATGACTGCAGTCCCAAGAGTTGTGATCCAGGTTGGAGTGGGGCCCAAGTGAAGGCAGTTGTCCTCACACAATCCTTCAGCTTCACAGTTAATCCGATTTCACCCATAGATCAAAAGACAAGATTTTTCCCCACAGAAAAATTACCTGGCTTGCTACATAAAGCCTGAATGGCTAGGAGATACACATTTTCTAATTTTTGTGTGTGTGAAATTTGAAAATAGTTATATATAATATTGAATTTCAGAAAGTTCCTTCTATAATTTTCCACATTTTGGATTCCCCCACTGTCATCATTCAGTTATTCTAAAGAATTGTGCCAACACCACGTGAACAGACGCTGCCGTAGTTATATTGTAGGCCTTTACAATAGAACATGTTCAGTTGCTTTACTGTCATTAAGAATGACAATCTCATTTTAAAAACAAGGTCGCTTATTTGTGCATAATTTTTAGAAAGAATAACTACAGGTTTCTAACTGTAGTCATTACTACAGACATATTAATAATCAAATTATTTTAATTTGAGGGAAATACAACCTTAACCATTTTCAATGGTTACGAAAACTGTTAGGCGGGCAGATACTATTCAAATGCATTTCCAGGGTACAGAGTGTTCCATAAAGCTGCTCAATTACCTACATCTTTCCATTAAGAATAAAATAACCTTTTTGAAATTGAGGAGTCTTAAAAAGTATTCTTATTCTCTTTTTACTTTCTCTATGTTCCAGTTAATTCTTTGGCCATAATGATTTTTAACCAGCACCTTTAAAGGTCAGACCTAACTGTAAATTGTCTTTAAAAAGGTTTGTATCTAACTGACTTTATTTACTTACTTACTTACTTACTGATTTATAGAGAGGCTGGAGTGCAGCGGCATGATCATAGCTCATTGTAGCCTTGAATCCCTGGGCTCAAGTGATCCTCCCACCTCAGCCTCCCAACTAGCTGGGACTACATGTGCACACCAGCACACCAGCAAGAATTTTTTTTTGTAGAGCCAGGGTCCTACTATGCTGCCCAAGCTGATCTTGAACTCCTGGCATCAAGCAGTCCTCCTGCCTCGGCTTCCCAAAGTGCTGGGATTACAGGTGTGAACCACCGCGTCCCACCTAGACTGACTCTTTTTAAGTGTGAAGCCTGTCTTCCATATCTATTCTGCATTTACTTTGTCATAAACTATCAAGACAATGAGTTGCAGTTTCACAAGATCAATATTCATAGTTCAGAATAAAGTATTAAAACTGTCATCTTATTTTTATTTTTGAACCAAAGAAACATTCACCGTCAAACAAAAGGACAGGTTAATCCTAAAGTAAGCAAGTAAATGATTTACAAATCATTATAAAAGGCAACATTTTCCTCAGCCCTTTCCTTGATTTCTTGACTAGCCCAAGAACTGGATCTCGGACCCTTTCTATTTTCTCCTCACTGGTCCCAAAATCACATCTCAAAGGTCAAAACCAAGAACCTTGCAGAAATAGTAGCCACTGTCTCCATCCAAGCCATAATCTGGCCACCAAACGTATTTCCATGATGGTTTGCATGGGGTGGGAGGACCAGTTCAATGCTCTGAACAGAGGTGCCCCTCGTGGAAACCGCTCCTTCCTCTTCATCAAAAATGAGATCTGAAAGGTGGAGGTAAACATTAATGATGGTGGAGTGAACCATAGGCCCTGGGGCTACAGCTTTTCCTTCCTGACAGTACATTCAACTCAGATTTATAGAAAAATTAAAGTGTTCTCAAAAGCTTAAAACTGAGCCAATTGACAGGTTCTACAGAGTGACTCTCATCTGAATGGTGAATATTTGCAGTGAATTGAGTTAAGATAACATCAGAAAGGGCCTTTTAGAGACTGTATTCTAGCCTATCGGAATTTTGATGAAAAGAATGGTTACAATGAAACTTGAGTCATTTGTGGTAGGGTAGGGACAGATCGGGACAGAGAGGGGCAGAAATGTTGGGGGTGACGAATATGTCATTATCTTGATTGTGGTGAGGTTTTCATAAGTAGACACATGCCAAAACTTATCAAATTGTATGCTTTACATAAGGGCCATTCATTGTTTGTCAATTATACTACAATAAAGTTGTTAAAAATAAAGGAATCAGAGCTACAAAGGACCAGAGACACTGAGAGGCCTGAAACACTAAACCTTCAGAATAGGAAAGTGGCCTCCTGTGGAAACTGTTTGTGATGAATGCAGTCAGGAGCAGGAAAGACACAATCTGCTATACTTCTCCGTGTCCTTCTACCCTTTTTTTTTTTAAAAAAAGACAGAGTCTCGCTTTATCGTCCATGCTGGAGTGCACTGGGGAGATCTTGGCTCACTGCAACCTCAGGCTCCCAGGTTCAAGCGATTCTCCTGCCTCAGTCTCCCGAGTAACTGGGATTACAGGTGCATGCCACCAAACCTGACTAATTTTTGTGTTTTTAGTAGAGACGGAATTTCGCCATGTTGACCAGTCTCGTCTTGAACTCCTGACCTCAGGTGATCTCCCCGCCTCAGCCTCCCCAGGTGCTGAGAGTACAGGCATGAATCACCACACCTGGCCTTTCTGCTTCTTTTGAATCATATCTGCTTCATTTACCGACAAATTGTTTTTTACCCTCAACAATGAAGAAATCATTTACTCTGGCTGCAAAACAGTAAAATGCTATGCTTCTTGCATCACAAAGTGAACCACCAGCTAGGTTTCCATCTCACATGCTATTGTTGGGGAGGAGGGGGAAAGGATTTACAAACTGGGGCACCATCCTGGTTGTACTGTCAGAGGCAGAGCTGAGCTTACAGTGTGGGAGGGAAGATACACCCAGCAGCTGTTGGTGTTCAGGGCACAGTCACAGCTGGTGATCAAGAAGTGTAGTCACAGAAACCTGAACTCCACTTCCCAATGCAATTTTAGATTTATAATTAATTGATGGTCTTCCTCTTTTATTTTTTTCTTATTTCCACTGATATTTCAGTCCCCAGCTGAAAACAAGTCAGTAGCTTCCCACTGAAACCGTATAAAACCCCAAATCCTTCCCAGGCCTGCAAGCCCTACCTTCCTGGTCTGGCCTCACTTTCCCTCTCCCTTTGGTCCAGTCTCACTGGTCTTTTTTCACTTCCTCTGAGGACGTGTTACCTTCAACAACAGAGCATTTATCACACCCCAGCTGTCTACAGCAACACCCCTGGCCACCACTGCCTGTGTCTTCCATTTCACTCACATTCTGTGGCCCAGCTTGGTCATCATTCCTCAGAGAAGCCTTCTCTGACCTCCACAGCTCAGTCCCATCTTCAGGGTTTCTCGAAGGACCTTTCTTTCATGGCTATAGTTTTATGTTATTTGTGTGACCTTTTATTATGTGACCCACTCGATCCTAAGCTTTTTGGTGCAGGGACTATGAATTTTTAAAATTCTAATATAATTCCTGAACTTAGGTGCTCAATAAATATGTTAAATGAAATGAATGAATGAACTTAACTTGGCTGATTTCCTTTGTGTTCATAGGCCTTACTCACAATAGAATATTTTTAGATAACAGAATAGTTGTACTAACACTTCTGTCTTCTATTTACGAGAGTCCCCACTGGTCCTCATTTTTGCTTAGTATCAGACACTCAACTATTTCCAGTTTGGTGTGTAAGAGTATCTCATGTTGGTTATAATTTGCATTTCCTTGATTACTAATGAGGTCCAACATCTTTTTTACTTGTATATTAAATATTCTTGTTACCTCTTAATGAAATGTCTATTTATATCATTTGCTTGAAATCTTGCCTGTCTCATTTCTGAAGCTTTTTTTTTTTTTGCATGTTAGACATTTCACTCCATTCTCCATGTCTCCTAACCTACCTTATGTAGTTCCCATTTCTTTGTCTGGCTGTGTTCTAAGTAACTCTTTCAAATCTATCTTCTAGTTCCCTGTCTTACCTGCTAGTTCATTCATTCACTGAGTTTTACATTTTAATTATTATGTATTCTTTTTCTAGAAATTGCCTTGGTTTCTTTGTTAAACCTTCTAGGTCATCTCTTTTTATGGTTCTGGCATCACACTCTTGATACTCTTTTATTTCTTAAAATGTATTAAGATTCTTACTTCATCTTACTTGATAAATTCATTATCTGCTGTCTTTGTGGCCCTCATTCAGACTTTGTGGGACCTGGTGTCACTTCTAGATCTTGGAACCTTGTTTATTCCTATCTTTTATGATTTTTGGCTAGGATCTCATACTGCTTGGATCTTTTTTTTGGAAATTCTTGAGAGCTGGCTTTAAAGTCATTTTTTCACAAAGAATCTGCATTTATAGCGGCAGATCATCTGGGGTCCTGCGACACAGCACCACTGCTTTACAGTAAAGTTTACTTGTTCTGTTTTAGCCCAGACAGGCCATGTGACTTCTGAGGCTCCAAATCTGCATGAGGATGCACTTGTGATTGAATTCTCAATGGGAAAGAACTTTTTTCCCATTCCACTTGGGGCTAAGGCTCTCTGGAGGGTGGGATTTTTCTAGCTGACTCACTGGGGAAATCACCTTTTGGAGGCTGAAGCCCCATGGAAGGGTCCCTGATCCAACCTTCTCCCTCACATGGGCCCCTGGCTTTGTCTCCTGAGCCCAGGCAGCTCATTACATACAAGCTCTATGTCTCCAGGCACTTGCTGGGTCCTCCAGAACCAATGCCAGCCCCAATGTTTCCTGGCACTGCTGCATTTGTGTCTTCTCACCATTTCGGGACTTCAAAGTTTCCTCTTATTTTTCTGCCTGCTGAGATGTGTTTGCAAAGATGTTTGTAAATATTTTTCCAGAAATTTTTGTTTTTTCCCAATAATGAATTCACCATATTGCTGAAATCAAAATTGAATTCTTTCTAAAGTGATCTTTAAAAGAAATATGAAATCTTAATTCCTTTCAGCTTCTCTCTCTTTCTAAAACTGATTTTATTAGAAGATGTTTTATACATATCACGAACTAGTATTGATTGAGGTTGTTTTCAGGCTAATGTTGCTTACTCAAATGGTATATTTTTTGTTTAAAATAAATTAACACAAGTACCTGACTTCAAATTATGCTACAGAGCTTTAGTAACCAAAACAGCATGGCACTGGCATAAAATCAGACACATAGACCAATGGAACAGAATTAAGAACCCAGAGATAAGTTCACACAACAACAGTGAATTCACATTCAACAAAGGTGGCAAGAACATACATTGGGGAAAAGACAATCTCTTCAACAAATGGTGCTGGGAAAATTGGATACTCATATGCAGAAGAATGAAACTAGACTGCTATCTCTCACCATACACAAAAATAAAATCAAAATGGATTCAAGGCTTAAATCTAAAACCTCAAACTATGAAACTGCTACAGGAAAACATTGGGGAAACTCTCCAAGACATTGGTCTGGGAAAAAATTTCTTTAGCAATACCCCACAAGCACAGGCAAGCAAAGCAAAAATCAACAAACAGAATCACATCAAGTTTAAAAGCTCCTGCACAACAAAGAAAACAATTAACAAAGTGAAGAGACAACCCACAGAATGGGAGAAAATATTTGAAAGCAATACATCTGATAAGAATTAATAACCAGAATATATAATAAGGAGCTTAAACAGCTCTACAAAAAAAATCTAATAATCCGACTAAAAAATGGGCCAAAGATTTGAATAGTCATTTCTCAAAAGAAGACATGCAAATGGCAAACAGGCATATGGAAAGGTGCTCAACATCACTGATCATCAGAGAAATGCAAATCAAAACTACAATGAAATATCTTCTTACCCCAGTTAAAATGCCTTTCATCCAAAAGACCGGCAATAACCAATGCTGGTAAGAATGTGGAGAAAAGGGAACCCTCATACACTGTTGGTGAGAATGTAGATTCGTACAACCCCTGTGAAGAACAGTGTGGAGGTTTCTAAAAAAAAGTAAAAACAGAACTACCATTGGATCCAGCAATCCCATTGCTGAGTATACACCCAGAAGAAAGGAAATCAGGATACTGAAGAGATATCTGCACTCCCATGTTTGTTCCAGCACTATTCACAATAGCAAAAATTTGGAAGCAACCTAAGTGTCTAACAACAGATGAATGAATAAAGAAAATGTGATACATATATACAGTGGAATACTATGCAGCCATAAAAAAGAATGAGATCCTGTCATTTGCAACAATATGGATGGAACTGGAGATCATTATGATCGGTGAAATAAGGCATAGAAAGACAAACATCACCTGTTCTCACTTATTTGTGGGACCAAAAACAAAAACAATTGAACTCATGGAGACAGAGTGCAGAAGCATGCTTACCAGAGGCTGAGAAGGGCAGTGGGAAGGTGGGCATGGTTAACGGGTACAAAAAATATAGTTAGAAAGAATGGATGAGACCCAGTATTTGACAGCACAACGGGGTAACTATAGTCAGTGATAATTATATATTTAAAAATAACAAGTAGCATTGGATTCTTTGTCACACTTGAAGGAATGGATACCCCATTTTACATGATGCGATTATTACACATTTGCATGCTTGTATAACAATATTTCATATAGCCCATAAATATATACACCTACTATGTAACCACAAAAATTAAAGTGTGTGATAGTGATTATCTCTGAAGGTGGGAAGTGAAATGGT